AGCTGCGATCAATCTGTATGCAACTGCAATTTCACACTTATGCCCTTCCATACATTCTGTTTTCCTCACACAATAAAACGAATATTACACTTATCGTAAATACGTTGCATTGTTAACTTCCTAAAGAAATTGAGAAAAGGCCCTCTAAAAATTTCATCTACTCGATCAAGAAGTAAATTCGAACTCGAAGATACAATGCATGTACATATATATATTCACAATGTACTTGTAATTAGAAATTACAAGTGATTAAATACAACAAAAAAAGAAAAGAAAAAGCTAAGCGTAAACGACTTCAAATTCAATTCAATGCAACACAATGGTAAATGCATTGAAACATTATAATTGGAAGTGATTTCCAAAATTACAGTTTCATTTTGTCCCCTTCGTTCGAAACAAAAGTTCTAATTTCTAAGCTAGTAAGAATCGGCTACAAAAGTATACTTTCTCTATGCAGAGAACAAACTCCTAGGTTCAATTCACTAATATTGAAATATATATATATATATATATATATTATGCAATCACTTGAACAAGAAAAAAAAGAAAAAAAAAACAAAAATAAAATCATTTGAAAAATCAACGTTCAAGTTAGTCTTTCGTATAAATTTTCTTATCGATTGTTCTCTCTCTTAATCTCTCACGGGCGTATTTTCCATTTCGGTTAGATCACAGTTATAAAATCCTTGTAGGTCTGTGATTGCTGATGACTCGATTAAAAATGATGATACCGATAGCATTGACAAGCGTAAAACGACAACGTTCATCATTGATTGAATCAATTAACGTCAACGATTAGTATAATGCCATCGGTACACAACAATAAGATCAAGTTGATGAATTCCACACTCAACGATCGAGGAACTCTCAAACTCTCACGTTCTAAGGACTCTATTGGACTTTTGTATACGTGCTAAGTCCTCGATTAATTCTCAATTACACATTAAGCACACGGTACGAACTTTAAATAAACATAAGCACATATACCTACTCCGCTACAATAAATTTCGTTCTTTTACGACACATACTCAATCAACACACATTTCATCATTTCAGTACAGTAGTTATTTCTGAGTTGGTTAAACCGCACGCTTGAAACGAGATCATACAGAATGTAACATGCACAGTTCAGATGATCGAAGCTATCCGTCCTCTCTAAAAAAACACTCACTTCTGTCTTGTATTCGTTCATCGAAAAGGAATATTGTGCTAAAAATTTTATCTGGACAAGCCGGTAGTAGGAAAGTGAGAGAAAGAGATAGGGTCAGAAATACACAATATTTTTTTTGTTCTGTGACGTGCAAAAAGACAAAAAGAAATTATTCTGTTTCTTTGTTTTTTAGTGTTAGACTTTCATAAAGGGAGCACACTATTCATGTTATGTATAGTAATATTGTGATAAATTTGAAAATAAGAAATCAAATGAAAAAAAAAAAATAAATCCTACATTTCTCTCCAGAACCCGTTCCCCCTCCATAAGACAAAGAGACTAGGGTTGTTTCCTTATGAACAAGAAAAAGATATTATCTTTGTACCTACACACACACTTGCCTCGACTCTCTCTCTCTTGCTCCATCTGGTTAACACCTTGCGTATCATCATCAGGATCAAAGGAACGGATTCGCTGGCTTTCCATGATTACACTGGGACCCTCCACGCAGCTTATTCGTACTTGAGAAAGGTGTTCGATTTCTGATCACGCTGTCCGGGATGATTCTGCCAAGCACCTTGGGATGCGTTGGGATTATTCGGGCCTGGCCCACCTGTTCCAGGATTGCCAGTATTACCATCACCGCCACCCTGATTCATCCAACTGAGAAAGCCAGAGTTTCCACTGTTACCAATACTATTGTTGCCTGAAGGTGGCTGACCAGGTGGGCCAGGCTGGTTCGAATAGCCCTGATCGTTTCCCTGATTCTGCAAGTTACCGATCAGACCCCAAGATGCTTGATTCAGTGCAGCTGCGACCAGAGCAGGGTTGACTGGTAATGCAGACAAGTTCAAGCCTCCCATAGCCAGTGGATTCGACATACCACCACCTCCACCACCTCCATTGTTTTGCCCAGTAATGCCCAATGCTTGGAGGTTAGGCATGTCCAGGTTGCCCCGATTTCCTGGATTATTCCAACCGTTTGGACCCATATTGTTACCTGAATGGCCCATATATCTGTTACCCTGATAGTTTCCCTGTACGTTATTCTCGACGGGACCTGGGGCGCCTCTACGCATGTTCGAGTTTACTTGGTTATTGAAATTCTTATTGTTCCCCTCCGACTTCGGCGCGGCGTTCGACACGTGTACAGACACTCCTTTTATAATGTGATCCTCGCCGCATAGGGACTGGGCTACCTCGGGATCTAAGAAAGTAACAAATGAAAATGCACGGAAAGGTTTTGGGATGAACACGTCCGTCACTTCGCCATATTTGGAGAAATAGTCGCGTAGATCATCAGCAGTTAGGTCTTCTGTACAGCGTCCCACGAATACCTTGCAGGGTACTTGCTGAATCATTCCCTCCTACGCACAAACGCACAATCAATCAATCATGTACAACAGATTTTCACAGATTTTGGTATTTTTTTTTTTGTTTTCTTTTGTCCAGTAAAACTTGCGTACAGTGCACATTACCACTCTATTATATACAACAGCAATGTCTTTTTCATTTATCAAAAAGAATGGTCAAGTAATACTATCTATATTTATTAAAAATTCAATTAACCTGTCATATTGAAAAATGTTTCTAACTTTTTAAATGTTTAGTCATTTCGCATGAAAAATGAGCAAGAGAAGAACTAAGAAGAGTATCAGAATCTGCACTAACATCAAGTTTTATAGAAAATTCTTTGATACACCACGTTTAGTTATCAATCTCAGAAAAAAGGTGACGGCTGATTTACACTTTTGATTTCCGCGAATATATATGTATAACACTTAAGCACTATGGCCTCTTTAAAATCCATGCACAAAATCTATACAATTTGTCCTTTCTCTTTATATATATTCGATGTAAAATTTCATGCTATATATATTACATTATCTTAAACTGAATAAACACAATAGTTTGATAAAATGTAGACAGTTATTCGAAGCTATTGCTAATATTAGACAATGTTCTCTGCTATTATTATTTTTCTTTTCCTTTTCTATTTTCTTTTTTTTTCTCTTTTTATTTATGTATTTATTTTTTTTTGCAACAGAGATCACGAATCAAGGGGAATATGTACAACATTAACTACTTTTTCAGAACTGAGTACTCTATGTTACTGCTGGAAGAAGTAGATAGGAAACAGGAAAATCTTGTACTTCACCTTTGATCAAGGAACAAGGCATTGTTTTATCTGTCATTTGACAGATGAAAAAAAAACCGCTAAAATATGAAACGAATGCACGAAAACATACTGTGAACATCTCTGTCGCTTTAAGATACCTCATATGCGATATAGTTGAGCAACGTTTTCTATTCCCGTTGAACCGTGATATATTGTATTGTTATAGTAACAAGACTCATCAGTATCTTGACGTGTCCGAGACATGGTGATCCCTCGACGGACGGTGCTTGTAATAACGATCATAGTAGTTCTCTTTAGTTGGATTTCTTGCTGTATCCGCAAACCTGGCATCCACTTCCTTCGGGTCCGCCAGATATCTCGCATCCACTTCTCTGTTCTCGACAGCGTATCTACCGTCTGGATCCCCTCTGCCATCTACCGCGTATCTTCTCTCCATATCACGATTATCCACTGAATATCTACAATCAGCCTCTCTACCGTCAGCTGGAATTCTATTGTCCCCGTGCCTAGTGTCTGGATACCGAACATCCAACGAGTATCTACAATCCGTAGACGCGTAACGACCGTCCGCCTCGTAATAGTTTCTATCATAAGCATAATTGTATCTGTTTTTCTCTGTGTAATCGGGATTCTCCATCACGGGGTATACGGCCCCACGTCCTTCGTAACTTGTGTACCTAGTGTATTCTGTGTCAGACGGATAGGTAGCAGCAGCTGCTGCAGCGGGATTTGGTGGTGCGGCTGTTGTTGTATGCTGAACCATGTAATTACGTGTGTCGTACCCAACAGGCTCCTCGTACGACGGATAACTCGGTTTCTCATAAGCATTATAATTTTGGCCCTCGTACTTGTATTTATTGTTATCGTCGTACGGATAATTCGGCGGGTACGACGGGTAATGCGTTGTTTTATAATCGTACTCCGATTCGTACCTAGGTGTATTAGCCGCTTCGGATGTATTTAAGTTGATATACGGTTTCGCCACAGGTACCCGTCGACTACTCGGCGTATGAACCGGTATAGGGCGGTAGCATTCATTGTGTTTGCTCGTATCATACTGACGAGCCATCATTAAGCCATCAATATTCTGCAACCAGATACACCAGCCCTCGACAATCACATACAATTTTTATCGATTATAATTGGTTTTGAATTACACATATATACGCACACTCTCTATTCCGTTTTCTTTTCATTATTTGTTCTTTTTTTAAATCATACCTCATTCCACATTCCAATTATTTCCTTTGCATATTATAAAGTTTAAAGCCTAACAAACCCGTAACACAAGCGTATAAAAATTTCTAAATTTTAGGGATAAACCACGCGTTCCTCCATTCATCTATTTACTATACACTCTATGCATACCTGTACTCTCTCTCATTCCCATTCCCCCTCCCTCTCTCTCTCTCTTTCTCTCTCTTTCTCTCTCTCTCTCTCTCTTTGCACTGCCTTGTTTTTACAACTGTGTATCGTCAAACTGATCTCTTTCTTTCTATTTTCATTGGTATTCAACAGATAAAGCTCTAACCTAATTTTATCTGGATAAGTATGTTTCCATTCGCAAAATTCAGAGCCTACTTCAAAGAATATATGACAATTCGTAACATTGCACACCGCATAATATGGACCTTCAAGACTTTGTATAGTGCACACACTGTCACGCAAATCATATCCGTTACAATTATTGGTCATTGTTCAAAAAGTTACACATTTAGCACCTCGATTATGTATTGTTTGAAATGCACTCCCACTATATAAGGTACATGCTTCTTTAATCACGAAAAAAAAAGATATGGATCTACCTAAATTGTTTCAGAATTTCAAACATCTCTAGCAAATCAACAGATTGCATGATACATATAAGATTCTTTGAAGATTCGCATGTAATTGGAAAACCGATTTTTAATATAAAATAATAGCTCTGGTTGTTGCAACTTGTTCTACCAAGCTTTGTGTAAATTGGATATGTATACTCAAGTTGTCCTTGTAGCTATTTCAAAAAGATCTGACAGTGGCACCTCTCATAGCATACTCGAAAATTTCACACTATTTAAAAGGACACAAACATACCATGTTATTTACAAGAGCACGCAAGCATACTTTCTTAAATTACCTCTCTTTACATCATACAACACTCATCACGTAAACATTCATGCACATTTATCACATTATCCTCTATAAATATACCACTTAAAATCGACTGCACATTCACCTATTTATACCACAGTATATCTTTCTCAAGAGATGTATAAAAGATGACGTTTGAAGATTGTAAGCAGATATCAATTATCTCATAGTCTTGTGCAATAATTCAAAATAGAAAAAGAATTTGTTAAAGCAAATTGTTATATTATCCACGGTTTTTTCTGCCGTAGTCAAACTTCTTAATTGTTCTTTTACTTTCTTACAATTCACGCTATTATCTATAGTTCGACTAATATCTTATCATATACATCATAGACCTACACACAGTTCATTTACAATACAAATATTATTTTTAAAATGAAAATTTAATTACTTTTTAGTGCAAATATTACTTCATAGTTTAATTAATTAATAATACTAAATATAACACTTCTACTCTTTTTTTCTTAAAATATGTCACTTTATTATATTTATCAAATCTTTGAAAAATTAGAGATCATAGATCTATGATTTGCAGACAAATGTCTTATACATTTGTATTTTAATCTTAAATAACTGTTAAATAGTTAAACATTTCAGGACTACTCAAAGATGTATGAAGAAACCACAAATGTTTGTCAATGAAATAATGATGCTCTTACCTTACTGTTGGGAACCTTGACATCACACCATCTCCCATCAATCATATGCCGTTGTGCAAGACATCTTAATTGGGACTCATAACTTCCAAATCTAATAAAGCCAAATCCTTTGCTTTGTCCAGACTTTGCATCTTTCTTTACCTGTGGCATTATTTAAATTTGCATTAAGTACACTTCATACCTTATAACTGAAAAACTTTTTCACTGATCTAACAAATCTTGTAATTTATATAATCATATAAATTTAGTTTTGAAATTTCAATTAATGGTAAGAAAATACTTTACAAATATTTCAAAAAAAGAAACAGGAAGAATGTTCTAATTAGAATTAACATGAGAAACTCACCTGAGCCATGAGTACTTCGCCAAATGTTTCAAAATACTCTCGCAAGTTCTGCTCGGTTGTTTTCCATGGTAAACCAAGAACGATCAAGTCTGTGCAACGCAACTTTGTTTCCATTCTTTTTGTCTTAGCTGTGGAATTTTCCAAATTGTCATCAGATTTACGTTTGTTCTCTGAAAAGATATAAGTGTTCATGTCTACTAACTTTTTTCATTTTACTAGAACCTCTTCCGAAAATTTGAGTCTTATCACAAAAATTCTATATACGTACAGTATATAATTCATTACAATAGAAATTAAACTGCAACAAA